AATCATGAGGTTGTCAGATTCAAATGGCCAATACAAGTCCATTTCAGCTCACTAATGCCTAAGATATCAATGTTTATGCATTCCATCTCCTTTTTGACAACTTCCAATTTTCTTAGACTCATATTTCGTACATTCCATATTCTGATTTTCAATGAATGTTTACAGCTGTTTCTCTTCATTTTGAGTTGTGCCCCATCAGCAAATGAAGGTCTCGCAGACTTTTCTCCCACGGGCTTTACTCCATTTGCGACAACATGGTCAACTCTACTTTGAGGAGGCAGCTCTTCCCCAGTCGCATTTTGAGTGCCTTCCAACCTGAGGGGCTCATTTCCCGGCACTATATCTGACAGTGTTTCTCTGCTATTCATAAAGATTTCAGTGACTAAATATTTGGAAGTAGTTTGTCACTCTTTCTTCCTAGTTTGTCTTTGTCTGGAAGCTCATCTGAAACTTGTCCACCATGGGTGACCCTGCTGGTATTTAAAATACCTGTGGCATAGCTTCCAGAATCACAGCAACTCACAAGCCACCATAGTACGACAAACTGACAGATGAGTGGTGGCCGTTTGGTTTTAAGTGGAAACAAACTAGCAACTTAAAAATCAGCCTACTCTATTTGGTCAAACATTTAGGATCAGCACTGGATTGTGAACCACAAAGTCAGCAGTTCAAACCCACCAACTGCTCCTCAGGGTCACTGTGAGTCATAACCGACTCAACAGCACTTTACACAAGCAATTTGATGGTTGGAACTGCAGTTGCCTTGGCAGGGCCAGACCAACTGATGTCACAAATGTTATATGGCCCACTGGCCAGGTGTTCCCCACCACCCCTACTCTCAAGGCTGTGACCACCCCTGGACAAATAGGCCTTTCTATTTGGCTAAAAGTTGAGCCGGGAGTGGGGGGGGGGGGGGGGGGGGGGGGGGGGGGGGGGGGGGGGCAGGGGACAGAGCATCAAAGGGTCTTAGAAGGGTCGAAGGGCCATAATCTTGGGGTTTCCTCCAGTTGTTTGAGAGCTAATCTCTTGCTCCCACTCTCTCAAGGACTTCCTATTGTGATCCCTTTCAGAGACATCGGTGGTGTTATCTGGGCACAGTCTAGTTCTTCTGGTCTCAGAGTCAGAGTCTGAGATTCACATAGTCTGTTAGTCCTTCGGACAAATTGTTACCTTGAGTCTTAGATTTCTTTACTTTTCTTTCCTCCACACAGGGAGAAACCAAGAGCTGCACCTTAGAGGGCTGTTCATGAGCCTTTAAGACCCTAGACGCTATTCTCCACAGTAGGATATAGAACACTATCTTTGTGGATGATACTATGCCAGTCGACCTGGGTGACCCTCTAGGTCCAGCACCTCATTCCCTCAAAGTATTTGATTATGGCTAAAGAACTGTCACAACTTTGGCCCCGGTATGCTATACTATATTCATGAAAGTATTTGTAGCACATATAAATGTATACATAGAAAGTGTTAAGCACCTGCGAGTTGTTTCTGACTGATAGCGACTGTGTGTAGGGTTTTTGAGGAGTAGCTGGTGGGTTTGAACAGCCAACCTTGTGGTTTGGAATCCAACACTGATCCCACAGCTACACACCAGGAATCCTAAGTAGAAATCCTCTCTGTCAAATCTATATACAAGGAGGCTTCAAAGTTTGTGGATAAAGACAATGGAACAATAGAGGAATTTCCCATGAACTTTTTGCAGCCCCTTTGTATAGTCCCTGTTGCCTCCCAAAGCTGTTCATTCAGCTGGAAATGTTGAGCTGTGTATTCACTCGTAGGGTTGTGTATGAAATAGTATCCACACTGTTGTCTTGGGCTCCTCCCTCTGCCCTGGTCATTAGGCACTTCCGGTCCTCTCTTCACACCGGCATGCTTGCCCTCCCTGTAGTCCTCACCAGCAAGCACACCTGGGCTGCTGTGTGTATGAGGGGCTTGGGGGCACATGACAAGTCTTCTGGTGGTCACATGGCACTGCACCCCCACTCGCTCACTTGTGACGTGCTCACCTGTGCAGGTGCCTCATACTTGGAGAGGCCACACACACCTGTGGGAGGGACTTTATGAGCCAGTAGGAATTTGACAGCTCGGCTCTTCTGCCCTTTTGGGATTTTATTACCAGTGCACTGTTTTGCACCTTTGTGTTGTTGCTAAGGACTACTGTGGTTGCGTGTCTGCTTTACACAAACTGTGGTTTCTCAGCCTCAGGACTAGGGGTATTGTAGGGCATTGTCATCCTTGCAGTTTATGCCAACTACAAATGTCCCCCACAAAACCTCATAGCAAACCAGCTGCTGTTGAGGTGTGGCCTCAGCTCAGCACTGCAGAGTTCAGTTGTCCTGATTTTGATTCCTAACAACCCCATGTGTATTGGAGTAGACCTGTGCTTAAAAAAGGACAGCCATCTGGGCTGGTAGGACACGTGGTGCCTACCACAGGCTGAGTAGACGCTTCTCTAATGTATAAACCTCTGCTTGCAGGAAAGCACCTAATTGTATTTTAATGGTAACAACTGAGGGTAGATGGGGGCCCATTTCCTCCCTGAGCCCTCACATCCCCCCTCAGGGGTGCATGCGTCCCCACAGACCCCAGGCAGCTTCCAGTGGAAACAATTCCCCAAGGACAGCTGGCTGACCCCGAGATGGATGGCTCACAGGTTGGAAATTAGACTTCCCGTGGTCTGAATTTGTACCAACATTGATTTTCTTTAAGGAACAATTAATCATCCCTGTATTACATCTGAGACAAGCATAGTCTGAAAAAAGAGAGAACTATTTTGGGGTTTTAACCCTTAAAAAGCGAGATTGTTGTTAGCTGCCGTCCAGCTGGCCTGGCCTCATGGCAGTCACACCATGTTGCCTGGTCCTACATCAGCTTCATCCTGGTGGCAGGGACTCTGGGTGCCTTCCGATGTAAAGGGCTCATTTCCAGCACCATGCTCTGTGGGCCCATACGGCATTCATTGACTAATTAATGGTAGGAAGCAGGTCACCAGGCCTTTCCTCATAGGCTCTCTTACTCTGGCTTCTCCTCTGAAACCCCATCCACCATGGGTGACCCAGCTAGGATTTGAAACACTGCAGGCAGAACTTCAAGGCAGAAGCCACCACAGGACCACAGACTGACAGACAGCTGCTAAGAAAGACCACATAGGAGAATCAGTCATCAACATTATGGGGTGAACCCCACTCTGGCATCTTCAGATAGGATCAAAGACCCTGCAGACAGGCCCCCAACATCCAGCATTGCACCCCCACCAGTCACTGTGGTTAACCTGGTAAGTGAAAAACCTCAGCTGCTAATAAAAAGGGTAGAGATTTAAGTCCACCCAGAGGGGTCTCTGATGAAAGGCCTAACAATCTACTAACAAAAAATCATCCACTGAGAACCCTGTGGAGCACAGTTCTACTCTGACACACACGGGCACTATGAGTGTGATCTATTTATGAAAAATCATCCACTGAGAACCCTGTGAGCACAGTTCTACTCTGACACACACGGGCACCATGAGTGTGATCTATTTATGAAAAATCATCCACTGAGAACCCTGTGAGCACAGTTCTACTCTGACACACACGGGGCACCATGAATTCATCAACTCGACAGCATCAACTTAGTACATCTCCTCCTCATTTATCAGATATCTCATTATCCAGCATTTACCATTTATGACAAGAGTAAGACATCTACTGACTGAATAAGGCATTAACCATGCACATCTGGCCAGCGAGAGTGTTTGTAAGTCCAATCTTAAGGTTCATGCCCAGTTATGTCTCTGAACATTGAGTCTGGTATTAACTTCTGACTGTGGACCCAGGCCTCTCCACAGCCATTTCCTTGATGTAGACAGAAGTATCCATCAAAGAAAACGCCCAGTTAGCAAATCGGTCCTTTAAACCTAAGTCTTTCTCCCACCCCAGGAAGAGATGGGGCCACCCCTTGCGCCAGTCAACAAGAATCCGCGTATTTCCCAGAGTCAGTCTGTGAAAAGAACAATGTGTGGTTTCTTGAGCAAAATCCAGATGCTGCAAAACCTAATTTCTAGCAAAGTCACGTTTCACGAGGCATTTATTCAGGTGGTAGAGATGGAAGATGAGCGTGGTACACAGACAGATGAGGCAGCGGCTTCTGCGTTGGCATAAACGGGGGCTTCCGCATGCTAATGTGTTCTTAATCTTTGTGCCTTGAGCACATACTGGGTTCGCAGCTGCCAAGACGCCAAGTGTGTTAGCAAATCATGTGACTGGAAGAGTTGAAAGAAGTTTCTAAGGAAAAGGTGGCAGCTGAGTGTGGTGTCATGTTGCTGCTCAAGTTGGTGCTAATTTGGGTGCTGTGAGCGTGGAAGGTGCAGATGGGGTTGATCACCGTCCCCACCCCTCTAGGTTCCATGGTGATTCAAGGTGCCCACCTGGTAACCGCCATCACCCAGCTGCTGTCCTTGGAACCATCAGTTCCAACTCATAGTTACACTGGGCACAACATAACGAAACACTGCCCGGTCCTGTGCCACACTCACAATTGTTGTTTGAACCCATTGTTGCAGCCACTGTGTTAAATCCCTTTCACTGAGGCTCTTCCTTTTTCATTGACTGTGTTTACCAAGCCTGGTGTGCTTCTCCAGGGACTGGTTCCTCCTCGAAGGAGCCTTCTGGGTGTCTGTCTTCTAAGATAGAGTTGGTCATTCTTCTTCTGAGAGTCCATGCTAAGGGGGTAGGGACAGGTCAGAAATAGGGATGAGAATGGTGCACAACTCCCAGAACGTAATCAAGGCCACCAGTAGAGACTGGTGGGTTGGTGTATGTCTTGCTGAAAGAAGTTGTCTGTAGATGGACGTTTGCTGGGGGCCAGGGGCTGGGGCTAGTCCATGTTCTTGAGCACTTGGTGCCACCACCTCTTGATTTAACGAACGTCAGGTAATCCTTCTCCTTCCCTGGAGGATTGGACAAAACATTTCACTGGTACTCACTGTCGTTGTTAACACTTGCTCCTCCTCCCCACAGAGCCAAGGTGAAGAAGGGAGTGAACATCCTCAGCACGCAGACCAGCGATCCACGACAGTGGGACTCCACGCAGGAGACAGGCAACGGCGGCAAACATGCCACCACCACGGTGGTGTGCCAGCGCCTGGGGCCGGGTCCGCGTAACAGGTAAGGAGGTGCCCCTGGACATGCAGCCCACCTGTCCCAGTGACGTGGCTGTGTGGTAGCCTTTGTGAGCTGGCAACAGACACCCCAGGAACCTGGAGACACTGCCAGTGCCTCTCCTTGGGGCCGTGTGGGGCATGGGACAGAAACACTGTGGTTTGGACTTGAGTAGAGACAGGGCTCAAACACCTGGATCCTCAAGTAAGTTCGGCCTTAGCACAACCAACAAACAAAAACTTTTACAAACAGGTAGATTCCAACTAATAATGACCTCGTAGGACAGAGAGTAGAACGGCCCCTTAGTGTTTCCGAGGCTGAGTCTTTACAGAAGTGACTGGTGGGCTTGAACCGCAGACCTTGCAGTTACCAGCCCAGCACCCAACCCACGGTGCCACCAAGGCTGTTTATCCTTAGCACAGTGGTTTGGTTTTAGTCTGTAACGAGAGGCATTTAAACATAGCGAGAATCACAAATAGCAGCATGTTATGTACAAGTCTATAGGCAGAGAACACAATACTTCAAATACTTTTTCCTGTTATGGAACTTTTCAAGTGTTCGGCAGATGCAGTAGGTTCTCCCCAAAGCCCAGGCTCTGTGAAAATGCTCTATAGCAGATGGCAGCTGCCAGGGGCCACACATACACAGCCAAAGTCATGTTGGGTCTCTGGTCCCTGCCCTGGTATTTTCATCTCTGAGTTTCTTTATTCAGCAACATCATCACACTTCATACTCAGATGTTGTGTGGCGACCATAGCCAGTGGTGTCTGTCACAACCCTGTGGTGACCCGCAGAAACTGATGAGAGCATGCTGCAACATGTAGGGGTCTGTGTTCCCTACAGGGGATCTTCCTCTCCCCTGTTACAGTCCTCCCTGTCCTGGGTCTGCATACAGAGCTGACCACCTGCCTCTGAGTCCATGGTTTCATAGATGAAGATGTTCTCCGGTCACCCTGACAGAGCCAGACTCTCCATGTATACTATACGCCCTTCAGGAACAATGCCAGCATCAGGTGTTTCTCTAAACCTGGAATTCTCTGGAGCAAACAGGGGGCTCCAGTGGGGCACAGTCTCTAAGCCTATAAGGGTCTTCCACCTCCCCACCACTTGTCTGTGAGTCTCTCATCCTGTGGGGACTTGTGTGGAGCAGAAAGTTGAATCACTAGAATTTCCCACAGGATCACCTATGGCGGATGGTGGACAGGTTTCAGCCGAGCTGAGAGACGAGGAAAAAAGAAGACTCATTCCCTTTCTTTAGACTTTAGTAGCAGAACATTATCAGATACAGTTCTAAAGAGGAACGCCTCAGGTTGGAAGGCACTGGGAATACAATCGGGGAAGAGCTGCCTCCTTAGAGTTGACTTTAATGGTATGGATGGAGGTAAGCTCTGGGGCTGATGGGGCGGAACTCAAAATAAGGCACAGCTGCAAACATCCATTCATAATTGGGAAGCGGACTGTATTGAGTATGAATCTAGGAAAATTGAAAGTGGTCAAAATTGACATGGAATGCGTAAAGATCAATATCCTATGCATTGCTGAACTTACATGGCTAGATATTGGGTTTTTAAAATCAGAAAGCCATACGGTTTACTACGGCAGGAATGTTCAAATTGAAGAGAAATGGTATCCCATTCATTCATAGTTAAAAGTACAAGAAACAAAAAGACGCTTCAAGATCTATTCTAAAGTAAAGTGCTACCTAATATCCGTATGCCTATAAGGTCAGCGGTTCGAAACTACCAGCTGCTCCGCTGGAGAAAGATCAGGCTTTCTACTCCCGTAAAGATTTACACCCTTGGAAACCCTGTACAGGGTCGCTATGGGTCGAAACCGACTCAATGGCACTTAACAACAACAACATAAGGAAGACAAGTTAATACCACTATTATTCAAATTTATGCACTAACCTCTAAAGCTAGTGATGATGAAATTGAAGATTTCTACAAACTTCTTCAGTCTGAAATTGATCAAGATGCACTGAAAATCAGTGGTGACTGGAAAGTGAATGTTAGAAAGAAGAAGAAGGCTTAGTAGTTGGAAAATATGGCATTGGGGATAGAAAGGAAGAGGACATCCCATAATACTGTTTTACAAGACCAATCACTTGTTCTTTGTAAATACCTTTTAACAACATAAAATGCAACTTAACTATATACCTGGAGCTCCCCATATAGAACACACAGGGATCAAACTGGCTACATCTGTGGGAAGAGGGGATGGAGAAGCTCAGAATCATCAAAGAAAGCTCAATGTTGTTAAGTGCCGTCGAGCTATTTCTGACCCATAGCCACCCTGTATAGGGTTTCCGAGGAGCAGCAGGTGAGCGTGAACCACCGACCTTGCAGTACAAACGGCTTTGCAGTCGACGCATTAACCCACAGCGCCACACCAGGACTCGATTATCAGTAGTCAAAACAAGGGTAGGGGCCGACTGTCAAACAGACCATCACTTGCTTGTTTGCAACTTAAATCTCAAGGTGAATAGAATTGAAAACAAGTCCCCAAGAGCCAAAATATGACCTTGAATATAACCCATTTCAACACCAGAGTTGATGCATTAAAAACAAATGACTGAAGAGAAATTGTAGGAAGACATGAAGTATATCATATATGAAAAAAGCAAAAAGTAATTTAAAAGACAAGAAAGAAAAGACCAAAGTGGATGTCAGCAGACACTCTGAAACCTGCTCTTGAAAGTAGATAGGCTAAAACACACAGAAGAGATAGAGTGAACAGAAATTTTCAAAGACGAGAAATTAGAGCGCCAAAAAGGAAGAACACGCTCAGTATATCTCAAGGTGAAAGAACTGAAGGAAGAATTCGAGCCTTGGGTTGCAATATTGAAGGCTTCAAAGGGCAAAATATTGAACTACTTGGAGAGTAGCAAAGAAGGACAAAGGAATACACAGCTAATGTACCACAAAGCAGTGGTCCACATTCAACCACATCAGAGCACTTAACCACTGTGCCACCAAGGCTTACATAGGACCAGAAACCTGGATATTCAGCTAACAATCCCACTCTGTTTTATAGAGCTGAGCGTTTTACTAGGTGCTGGTGGCACAGTGACTTAAGCCAGTGGAATGCTAACTACAAGGTTGGCAGTTCAAATCTACCAGTTTCTCTGGGAGAAAGGTGTCATTCTGCTTCTGTAAAGATTTTACAGCCCCGGGAACCCTCCACGGGGTCTCTCTGAGTCGGAACGGACTCAGTGGTGGTGGGTTTTACGTTGGTCATTTCAGTCAGTAAATGTTGTCAGTGTTGGGGGCTGTAAGCAGTCGTTGTATGGAGCTGGGGAAGAATCAGGGACTCGGGGAGACGGCACCTGCTGAGAACTTGCACGGATGATCTTACAAGGTTTTCTTTGAAAATACCTTTGAATTCTATACTTCAGTAAGCAAAACAATACAGGCCAGGGCTATGACTCTATTCACTCTGGTTTGACCATGTACTGAGAGAGAATTTGCTTTTCTACCCCAGATAGAAGGAGTCCTGGTAGCGTAGTGGATTACAAGCTGAGCTGCTAACCACAAGGTCAGCAGTTCTAATCTAGTAGCTGCTCCACAGGAGAAAGATAATGTTTTCTGCTCCTGTAACAATTTATGGCCTCAGAAACCTTATACAGGGTCACTATGAGTTGGAACCAACTCCAACAGCACGTAACCGGTTGGTTACCACCCCAGATAGACTGAATCAGAATCTACATTTTAACAAGATCCCCGGGCGCTTTTGCATGCAAGGGCACTTCCAAAAGTTTGTGAGGAAATTCCATTATCTTTCAATTCCATTTTTCCCCACAAACTCTTTGAAGTGCCCTTTGTACAGGCTGATGATGTCAAAGACAGTTTAGGTTAAAGTCCAGATGGCCCCAATAAAGCAAGTATCACAAAAAGTTGGGTCCCACAAATTTTGTGGTTTCCCAATACATACGTGATGTTAATGGTCATTTGTCTTCTGTGGCATGTACGATGTTGTTAAGTGCCATCTAGTTGGTTCCAATTCATAGTGACCCTGTGTAGGGTTTTCAAGGAGCAGCTGGTGGATTTGAACTGCTGATGTTGTGGTTTGCAGTCCTGTGCTGATGCTATATAACACTACACCTGGAGTCCAGTGACGTGAGCAATACCATGACGGAAAGGTTGGACACCTTGAAGACTGAATCACTTGGAACACAGAAACACAGTGAATGCAAGCTGTTACAGAAAAGGCGCACATAGACTTGCTCAAAGCAGGGTTGACACAAACATTCAATTTGTTTAACAACAACAAAAAAAAAGTATCTGAGAAATGCAAGAAAAGGAGGCGCTCTGACCTGCAGGAGCCAGGTTGGAAGTGTGCATGATGGAGACAATGAAAATGCCAGTGGTCAGTAGGGTGAATTGTTCCAAGGCGTTGAATCTTTGCTGCACTCCCCTGACAAGATGCATTTGTCTAAAGCCACAAACCTATGCAACACAAAGAATGAAACCCAAGGTAAGCTGTGGCCATTAGTTAGCAACAATGTATCAATATTGGTTCCATTGCAACACATGTAGCTGAAATTGTGACCATTAGTTAGCAAGAAACACATGTAGCAAAGGCATCTGAGATATCTGTTAGAGAGGCAACTGAGGGCTTAGTATATAGTTGTAATTGTTAAGTGCCGTCAACTCGGTTCTGACCCATAGAGACTCTGTACAGGGTTTCCAAGGCTGTAAATCTTTACAGGAGCAGAAACCCTCATCTTTCTCCCACGGAGCAGCTGGTAGTTTCGAACTGCTGATTTTAAGGTTCACAGCCCAATTCGTAACCACTACACTACCAGAGCTCCTTTAGGTACATAGAGGGTGAGTAAAAACAAGGAACTCCCTCCATGAGATGGATTGACACAGTGGTCCTCCAGCAGGCCCCAGACTCCTGAGAGTCGTGAAGATGGCACAGAACTAGGCAGTGTTTCATTGTGTAACCCACAATGTCGCCATTGTTGGACTCCAACTCAAGGGCAACTAACACTCCAGGGACCC